AGCCTCTTTGTAGGCATACAGCCATTTGTTAGAAAAAGGAGAAGAGGGAGTTCCAGGAGGATGTAACATTAAATAATCTAAATACAGATGTAGCAAAAGATATGCAAAGCATTGAGAAATAAGTTGAAAAGGGGGAATACACTGGGCAGACTTTTAAAATATTACTGTGAGAAACCTGTACCCAAAAACCATTTCAAAAGACACCTAGCTTGGATTTAAATAAACTAAGGAAATAACACTAGAAAGAGCAGCACAAAAAATTTTTTGTTGTTTTACTGTTGAATTCTCACACAGAAGGCAATGCTTTATTCTGGATCATTCCAATTTACAGCAAATAATCCTAAGGCCTACCCCAAATTATCCTCAATCATGAAAAGGAACACGAAAATATAAATAAACTAATGTAAGGCAAGTAGCAGAGTATACTTTGATCTGCATTAGGGTTAAACTTTAGTGTGCAGAAGTATACAGGTAGCGTGATTAAAAACAGATGATCAGGTCCCAGTTACCTCATTCAGTCTGATTACTAAGTGTGTTGAATCTGTATTTTTTATAAGCACACCCGACGACTAATTTACAGATGGTCCACAGACAGGTTTTGAAAAACAGTGACCAACAGCAAGGTTCTCAGCAAGTCACAGTACAGCCAGGAAATAAGAACAAGTTCCATCACTTAAGATAACAATACATATCCAGAGAACTTGGAGCCAAGTGTACTCCCATGTGAGACACAGGCAAACACGATACCCCTAAGGCTGTAACAACAAAATCCATTTACCCCAACCCGTGGTTCTTGTACCATCCCAGTTATGGTCATTTTCTAAATTATAACCATATAGACAGAACAGCCAAATCTCGCTAGAATTCTGAGCTCAAAAAAATTCCTGATCACTGTCCTGAGAAAACAACTCCAATTTTTGATAGATGAAAGAATTACTTGCAGAAACTATTATAATCAAGAAATATTGCAGGTAAATGAAAAATTAAAAGATCAGTTTGCTGGCAGAGTCGAATCAAGGACAATATAATGGATCTTTAAGGATTAAACATTATTATCTAGATTCAACCACCATTAGAATGAATTTAAATATAAATTTGAGCACAAAGGGGTGTAGGGCAGGAGAAAAATGTAAGGTGCTAAATATAAGCTTGTCTTCAAAGTGGCTGCCATCAATCCCCCTTCAATTCTCACTCCACCATTCCACACAAGCCATTTTCTCCTGGTGAGATGAAGTCTATTTCTCCACTTTCTTGATGCGGAGCAGATATGAGACTTCTCTGACCAAGAGAAGACAGCAACATTAACACTGCATAATTTCCTAGGCTAGATCATAAGACATCTTTCAGCTTTGGCCTTTGGCTAAGTCTCTGGAAACATTTGTTCTGGGGGAAGTTAGTTAACTGGTTACACTGAAGCCACTATTAAAAAAAGACCCCTCCGTGAAGCCAGATGACTAACCTGCCCCATCTATTCCAACCATCAAAAACCAAGCACCAGATATAACGAGAAACCTTCAGGTCCCAGACTCTATCTGACTGAAACCTTATGGGTGACCCAAAGGAAAAACTGCCCAACTGAACTAAGTCAATACATAAATTGTTGTTTTAAAACACTATGTTTTGGGTAGATTTCTACAAAGCAACAGATAACCAGAATAGATGTCCAAGCCTTCATCCTGTCTCATTTCCCAACTTTTATTACATAAATTAACCTACTATATTAACTGCTCCCAACACTCTACTCAATACTATTACTGAAGCTAGTCTAATGCGAATGCTGCCATTGGGGAAATCCCCATTCACACATACAGAGAACACTGTTCACGCCAATCTCAATTCTATCTTTTTTGACTAGGTCCATCTCAGGTGTCACTTCCCTTCCTCACCAAAGGAATATGGAGGTAACCCAGGGAATGCTCCATTTTTCACTCCTTAAAGTCTCTGCCATTCACTTAGTATTTCTATGTTACCTTGTGTTAATTTTTTTTTTTTTTTTTTTTTTGAGACGGAGTTTCGCTCTTGTTACCCAGGCTGGAGTGCAATGGCGCGATCTTGGCTCACCACAACCTCTGCCCCCTGGGTTCAGGCAATTCTCCTGCCTCAGCCTCCTGAGTAGCTGGGATTACAGGCACACGCCACCGTGCCCAGCTAATTTTTTGTAATTTTTAGTAGAGACGGGGTTTCACCATGTTGACCAGGATGGTCTCAATCTGCCGACCTCGTGATCCACCCGCCTCGGCCTCCCAAAGTGCTGGGATTACAGGCTTGAGCCACCACGCCCGGCCATCTTGTGTTAATTTTTAATGGACATCCTTACTTGAGAGTAAATTCCTTAAGAGACATCATTTCTTGTACTTCTTGTATCCCAGTGGCATTTATGTCAATAGGGTTTTTTACACATTACATATCTATCTAGAAATAGGCTTAAATAGAAGTTTATTTAGAAATACTGAATATGGCCAGGCATAGTGGCTCAAGCCTGTAATCCCAGCACTTTGGGAAGCTGAAGAGGGCAGATCACCTGAGGTCAGGGGTTAAGAGACCAGCATGGTCAACATGGTCAAACCCTGTCTGTACTAAAAATACAAAAACTAGCCCATGGCGGCACACACCTGTAGTCCCAGCTACTCAGATAGGCTGAGACAGGAGAATCGTTTGAACCTGGGAAGTGGAGGTTGCAGTGAGCTGAGATTGCACCACTGCACTCCACCCTGGGCAACAGAGCAAAACTCCATCTCAAAAAATAATAGTAATAAAATTAAAAAAAAAAAAGAAACACTGAATAAAGCTTGTCTATACTACCCTTGAGTAATTCTTAGACATCCACATGGCCTATATTTTCAACTCTATATTCAAAGTTATTGAGCCTTTCCTTGGGCTCCCTATTTAAAACTGTGCCCCTTCCTACACGACTGACTTTCAACATTGCTATCTTCCCTTCCCTGCTTTATCGTTCCTTACTGCACTTATATTACCATGTATTTACCTACTTATACTATGTGTCAGACTCCCACTGAAATCTAAGTTCTGTGAGTACACTGCTGCATTCCCATGTCTGGAAGAGTATCTGGTACTTAACAGACCCTAAACGTCACCTGTAAATGAATGCATGAATGAATCAAAACCAAGGATGAACTAATTACAGGTCTCTTAATTCAGGAATGATATCCCCTATTCCTTTAAACAAACAAAAAAACTGCTTTTACAGTTAAGACACAAAAATCCTGTAAGCCCCTTCACAGAAACTGCTCCTTAAGCTGCCTTTCAGTTTTCAGTCAAAACTTGGTTTAGCTTACTTCTTCCTTTTCATTACCAATCATTTTTCTTTCAACAAATATGACAGGATACTTCCGAATCACATCAGCAATTTAAACACAGGAATTGCCGAAACAAGGAAACTAGTATAGTCTGTACTAGCAGGCATGGTCCCCAAGTCAAACAATTTAGCTATAAATTTTCCTTCCCTACTAGAAGATAAAGGTACTTGCTTTACAAGAATCACTTGGCTATACATCAATCCACCACATTGCTTAATGTCTTTGATGTCCACTTTTGCTTCACTTATTTTTTTCGCCAGACAATACTGGCTGCATTGGTTTAGGCATGGATTGTGTCACGTTCTAAAGTCTCATATTTCTACTGGTCTGCTGAGTTCTTTAGCAAGTTCCATAAAATGTCAGTCCCAGAATATAGCAAACTTTGCCCTATAGGGCAAATCATCATTTGGTGATGACAGGCTACTGAGTCATCATTTTCCGTGCAGGCTGCAGGAAAGTTTATAGGGCAATCCGAACTCACCCTGTAAGAGTTACTGTCTGACCTACATCTTCCCTTTCTGACAAAACCCTGGACTTAAATTTACCTATCCGGCAAAGATTTATGCATCTTTAGACCACACACGTAATTTATTGAATAGAAAATAAAACTTTCCTTATCTTTCCTTCATACCAATACTCCTAAATCATTCTTATCACATCTTTATCTTTAAAGAAATTCCAGTGCTTTCAAGATTTGATTGAAACCCAAAACTGACATCCTACCTATTCTTCAAGGTCCTATTTAAATCCCACCTCCACTGCATGAACTTCTCAAGTGCCTCCATTCACAATTTCTCTCTTCTCTTAGCACAATAGTAATTTTACTCTCAACACTTTGACATGGTTATTAACCATGTGCCTACCTCCTGACAAGCCCGAGAGTCCATGGAATTAAATGCAAGATTCCAAGGAGTATGCGTAGCACAATGCTTTAGGTTTGTAGCTACCCAATAAGTACTGAATTTCTGTACCTACAAAAACTCCCTATGGTGAAATTCATTCTCTCAATCAAAACGTATGAAAGGACAATTATATCAAGTACTGTGTTGGGCACTGATGATCAAGGATCACAAACCATCCCAGGCTTCCAAGATAGAAAAGGACCATTTTTCTTTTCTGCCTATCCAGTCTCTCACATACTTTTCATAAACCCAGTTCAAATACCTGCTAATCCCAACCGCTCCCATTTGGAGTACCTATCACACAGCCCCTGCCTAAGTCCTCTAGAGCCTGACTGCGACTTAAAAACAGCGCCTGGAACCTCTCTTAAAGAAACACTGTGGTGTAACCAAAGGCAAAGACTGTGAAAAAGCACAGACTGGCTAAAATTCCAATATCCCCATTACGATCTTTGTGGCCTTTGGCAAATTAATTAACGTTTTTAAACCTTGGCTCCCTCTTGGGAAACACAGGTATACAAATACCATCTATATTACTGCGGTATAATAACAAATAAGGGATATTTGTAAAATGTTAAAAAGCAACTGAGTCAAATCCAGCGAGTTAGTAGGTGTTCAGTAAAGCTGATCTCCCTTCCTCGAAAGCGCTAGAGCTGTGATTTGCAGAGGGGCCGCGGCAACTCGCCGAACCGTGTGCGGAGCCACCTGGGCACCACCCGCCAGACGAGCGGTTCCAGCGGTCCAAGACGCCTCAACCACCCCCCACCACCGCACCGGGCCTCACCTTGGTGGTCGTAGACGCTAATGTAGGAAATGCCCACGGCCATACACCACACCACGAGGCTTGCGATATCCGAGAAGCTGGGCTCCTGCTCCACCTCGGTGAACACCAGGCCCATGTGCATAGGCAGCTTCTCCAGGGAACGGCCGTCCGCGCGCCAGCGCAGCCGGTGATGGGCAGCGGCCAGGCACGACCCCCCGCGTGGGTGCCTATGGTAACGGCGGTTCCTGCCGATCGCCTGGGACTTGCGGAGCGTGAAGCCGAGTGGCGCTAGGACCGCGGCAGAGACGGCGCGGCAGCAGCGCCGCCAGATCCAGTTCCAGGTGCCGAACCGAACGCGGAGCCAGGAGGTGAGCGTGCGGTGCAGGCAGAACAGCGCGTGCAGCACCCGCCACACCAACTCGTACAGCCCCGTCATACTCTTGTGGCGCTCGGGCACCCTCTCTCCCTCCCGCCCGCTCCCGCGGCGTGACGGCTTTTTATCCGCCCCTGCGGCCGGAGCGGGCCATCTCCCCGCGGCCCCCGCCCCCCACGCCCGAACCCCTTTCCACTGCCAACACCTCACCTCGCCCCCGCCGCCATCTTCCTCCTCCCTTGGCAGCCCCGCCCCCGGTAGTACATGGACAGTTCTGATTGGCCAGCGTGGAACTCTGACGCGTCTTCTGGGTCCGAGGATATGGCCCAGCCCGGCACAGCGAGGGAGGACCCACGCCTGCGAACTAGGCGGGCCGAGACCGCGGGCGCCCCCTGGTCGTGTGGAGGGCGATGAGGGGAAGACGACTGTCTGAGCGGGACGCCAGCAAGGCACACGTGTTCATCCAAGGGATGGGCGCTTCTAGGGACCCGGCATCCTTTGGGTCCAGGGCGTCTTAAACTGTCTGTCCCCTCTCACGGCCCCCACAGAAACAGTTTCATAGGAGTAAAAGTGTCCTAAGTGGACTGGAAATTACAAATGCCGGAAAGAACTTGGGGATGGAAAGCAGCCCTCAGTAAGTGTTGATGCTGGGAATCCACCAGGGCTCCCAAAAGTGTCCTCAAAGGCTGGAATGGTCCTGCTACAGTCCTTTATTCAACCTCCCAGCTAAAGCTGTGAGCAAGGCTCTTCAGCCATGTTCCTGAAACACCCTCTACCCACGTCATTCCCCACTAAGGTATCCTTTCCTGGCTGTCCATTGCTTAGTACATAAAAGAGAGGCTCTACCGCTCCAGTCACTTCACTGTTTTTTTGTTTTGTTTTGTTTTTCATTTATTCGGCAAGACTTTATTAACCAACCCCTGTTAGGTTTAGAGGGGAGAAATATAGAAATTGTGACTTCAATCACCGCCACTATTTGATGTAAACTGCCCATCCAAACTTTATCATCCCATTTACACACCCTAACGTTCCTGTCCATCTGGACTTCCAAGTGGTCCTGTAGAATGGTTCTGTACTTCCCTGTGGCAAGTCTGTACTGTCTTTGCCCCTTTTGTTGAAGCTCTTCTCCTGAATTTCTGATTCCCACTTGGGATTCCCCACATTCCAACCCATTTCTCAAGGCTCATCCTACATGCCACATCCTCTATCATCATATATATGTGTGTATGTAATAATAGTTATATTATTTGTATTTATATAAGTATACATGTAAAAATTAGGTAGGCATTACAAAAATGCAGCTGTTTACACATACACATCCACACACGTATACACACATATTTATACATGTGTGTGTAAACCGTTGCATTTTTGTAATGCCTACCTAATACTTGTTCTGTAAAGTCCCCTTTTTCCACTGGAAAGCATTGTTCACATCTTGGCTATATGACTTAATTTTTTTAACATTGTCCCTTTTTCAACTAGTCTCATTTTGTTTTCTAAGACTCATTTAACTTTACTTTAAAAGTTGAATCTCATGTCTATCTCCCTTTGACAGAGCAGCCTGAAGAATTGAGGGCTGGGCACCAGGCACACCCTTCACACACTTCTGTCTCTCCTGATCTCTGCAGCAACTCCTCTGATGATGGACAAGAAGGAAAGGCGAAAGGGCATGATCAGGAAAATCTACAGTCTTCTTCCTAACTGCCTGTTGCTGCAGATTATGCAGCTACATGGTGCTTGCTAAGGAAGCTCCCTAGACACCAGTGCCCCACTGAGATTTGGCCATGTATTCTGAAGACCCCCACCCCACCGCCCATGCTGACACCTTGCCACATTTCTCTGATGTACTCAAATTTTTTGCCCCAATGTCATTTTGTCAGTTCTGACAGGATTAAAGACATCAATCTTATGTCCCCGTGGCCTGCTCTCAGGTGTGCAGGCACAGGCAGGCTCTATCTTCTGTACTTCTTTTTTTTTGAGACAGAGTTTTGCTCTTGCTGCCTAGGCTGGAGTGCAGTGGTGCAATCTCAGCTAACTGCAGCCTCTGCCTCCCAGGTTCAAGCAATTCTTCTCCCTCAGCCTCCCAAGTAGCTGGAATGGCAGGCGCTTGCCACCACGCCCAGCTAATTTTTTGTATTATTAGTAGAGACGGAGTTTCACCATGTTGTCCAGGCTAGTCTTGAACTTCTGAACTCAGGTGATCCGCCTGCCTCAGCTTCACAAAGTGCTGGGATTACAGGCGTGAGCCACCGCGCTTAGCCTCTGTATTTCTTTGAATTACAAACTTAATCGAAAAGATTCTGACACAGCAACATGCAGATCCTGGCATCTCTCTCCAGTCATTTGTTTGTTTTCCTCCTAGAGTTTCCTCCTAGTAGCAGGTCTTCTAGCTCCCAGGATATTCAGCCTCCTAAAAAGTGATGGGGTGGTGGCACCCACTTTTCTTGTTTCTCAGCTGTCATTAGGCAAGGGATGGAGGTGCCTCATATAGAACAGTTCTCTGGGTGGCCTTGAATCAACACAGTTCTTCCCCTTTTCTCACTTGTAGTTCTCAAGAATAACTATAGAATATGTTGGAATGCTATATATTATAGATAAGGAGGAATTGAGCAGAACATCCCAGGCTCTGTTCCAGTCTCTTCTAAAAATACGATGTCCTTCAACTAGTACTAGCCCAGCACATCCCATTGCCCTATGATAAAAACTCAGAGCAAACGGCTTGCTGGGGTCCCTCCTTGGCGGTGCAAGTGGTGCATGAGCAGATGAGACACCATCCTCCCTAAGCAGTTTTCGTCGGCCTTGGGGGATGGGCTCATTATGACTCATGCGTCTGTTGTCCCTTGGTGACTGTCTGTAAGTAATAAACCCACTTCATGTAACTTTTGTGTGTGAGTGTTCTGCCTCACTGGACACTGGGTATAGGAAAAGTACAGTCTGAAATGCAGTGGGCTGAACCGGTAACCAGTACACAGTGAACCTGCGTTGCATCTGGTGGCTGCTGTCAACTTCGGGCTGCTTCACTGTACCTTGAAGGAGGTGTATTCAGTGCATTTTGTTCTCAGTAACATGTTCAGTGCATGTGATTCTGGAATAACAGGAAAGCCACACTGGATGTCTTGCTCTGGACATACTTGCAATCTGAAGTTTATGGAGTCCTCTCTCTTCTAAAGATTTTCTTCTTTTGTCACTTCAAAAAAGGAGTAAATGTGAAACATTTAGTAATTTTAGGGGTTCTGACTATGTTTGGATTTCTTAAACACATTTAACCTTCTACCCCAAAAATTTTACCAAGTACAGCAAAATACAGAAATAGTTATCCAGCCTCAGACCTGTAAGTCCCAAAAACATTATGGGGACAGTATTGGATTTACTTTTTGGGTTATAAAGTGCTTTACATTATCTTAATCCTCACAACCACTGCTACTTTTACTGTACCCATAGTTTTGCCTTTTCCAGAATGTTACACAGTTGGAATCCCATGGTACATAGCCTTTTCTTATTGCCTTATTTCACTTACTAATATGCATTTAAGCTTGTCCATGTCTTTTCATAATTTCATTCCTCATTTCTTTTTAGTGCTGAATCATATTCCATTGCTGGATATACCAGTTTACTTATCCATTCACCTACTAAAGGACAACTTGGTGGCTTCCAAGTTTTAGCAATTATGAATAAAACTGCTATAAATATCAGTGTACAGGTTTTGTGTGGATATAAGTTTTCAACTTATTTAGATAAGTACCAAGGAGAAGTCCAGGTACAGTGGCTCACTCCTATAATCCCAGCACTTTGGGAGGCCAAAGCAGACTGAACGCTTCAGCTCAGGAATTTGAGACCAGCCTGGGTAACATGGTAAAAACCTGTCTCTACCAAAAATGCAAAAAATTAGCTGGGCATGGTGACATTTGCCTGTTGTCCCAACTATTTGGGAGGCTCAGATAGGAGAATTGCTTGAGCCTAGGAGGTGGAGGTTGCAGTGAGCTGAGATTACACCAGTGGACTCCAGCCTCAGTGACAGAGTGAGACTCCATCTCTGAAAATAGAAATAATAATAATAAAAAAAACAAGGACCACAATTACTGAATCATATAGCAAGAGTATGATTAGTTTTGCAAGAAACTGCCAAAATGTCTCCCAAAGGGTCTATACTGTTTTGCATTTCCACCAGCAATGGATGAGTCCTGTTGTTCTACATCCTTGCCAGCATTTTGTATTGTTAGTGGATTTCGGCTTGTTGGCATTTTGGATTTCGGCTATTCTAATAGTTGCGTAGTGGTATTTCATTGTTTAAATTTACAATTCCTTCATGACTTATGATGTTGGTATCTTTCTGTATGGCTATTTGCCATCTTTGGCAAGGTGTCTTCGATGAGGTGTCTGTTCAGTTCTGTTAAAACCCTGTTTTACAATGAGGTCATTTATTTTCTTATTGTTGAGTTTTAAGAGTTCTTTGTACATTTTGGTAACAGTCCTTTATCAGATATAAAGTCTTTTGCAAGTCTTTCGCAAGTATTTCATCTCTTGTAAAACAGTCTTGTGCAAGTATTTTGTCCCAGTCAGTGGCTGATCTTCTCATTCTGATGGTGTCTTTTGTAGAACAGAAGTTTAAATTTTAATAGAGTCAAACTTATTAATTTTTTTTTTACAGATTGTACCTTTGTTAGTTGTATTAGTCTGTTCTCATGCTGCTAATTAAGACATACCAGAGACTGGGTAATTTATAAAGGAAAGAGGTGTTTAATTGGCTCACAGTTCCACATAGCTGGAGAGGGCTCACAATCATGGCGCAAAGTGAATGAGGAGCAAAGTCATGTCTTACATGGCTGCAGGCAAGAGAGCTTGTACAGGGGATCTCCCATTCATAAAAATCATAGATCTTGTGAGACTCATTCACTACCGAAAGAACTGTATAGGGGAAATCATTCCCATGATTCAATTATTTCCACCTAGTCCTGCTCTTGACGCATGGGGATTAGTACAACTCAAGGTGAGATTTGGGTTGGGACACCCAAACTATATCATTCCACCCCTGGCCCCTCTCAAGTCTCATGTTCTCACATTTCAAAACCAATCATGCCTTTCCAACAGTCCCCTTAAGTCTTAACTCATTTCAACATTAACTCAGAAGTCCACAGTCCAAAGTCTCATCTGAGACAAGGCAAGCCCCTTCCACCTATGAGCCTGTAAAATCAAAAGCAAGTTATTTACTTCCTAGATACAATGGGGGTACAGGCGATGGGTACCTACACCCATTCCAAATGG